ACAGAACGTACTAAGAACAAAAATTCTGAAATTTTAGCTCAATTGAATAAATCCGTCTCAAGATATCTTTTCTTCCGTGAACGCGAAAATAACTCGTTTTGAGAAAACGAGCTTTAAACTTACAGTAACAGTACTTGTCAAAATAAAACTTCAATACCTTAAGATTCGAGTTCCGTGAAAAACAAAACTTCGAATTTCTTTCAGAATTTTAGGTTTTATATTAAGGTCCCGCCTTAATATAACAAAATAACAATTTAAGAAGCTTTTTATACCATTAATTTGATGAGTTATTACAGGAGTACGATCCCGTGGGGGTTTCCTGGTCTTTTTCGCTACCAACACGGACGACTTAACAGGCTCAAAAGGCACCGCATTTTTGGATAGAACTCGCCTTCCAGTCAACGTTGTAATAAAGTCACTCAATCGGAAGTGACTTGAACATACTTTGGCATTATCAGACACCTACAAAGCCCGGGAAACAACCGAATTAAACAAAGAGTACTCACGTACGAAGACGACATTTTGTAAGTGTATTTCACCTACCGTGTGATTTTTCGCTTTTCCGCGCCTGATAAATCGTTTCCAGGTAGTTTTAAGATGGCTCTGTGTTGGGATTCTCTTTAGGTCCCTTTGTTCGAAGGCGAATTGTAACGACGCTTGCTTGACCTCGTTCTGATGTCAAGATGACGGCGCGTGACAAAGTCGAGAAACAAAAAAAGGCAATCCCGCCACCAAACTAAAAAAATAAGCTATTGTTGTCTACCAGGCCTTGAGATAAACAATCCTCATTACAATAATCAATCAACGATTTGTGCAGTTTCCGACAAAACCATAAACAAATGTGCTGTTTGGATTTGTTGTCATCCAGTGATGATGAAACATGCGCTTCCGGCTCCCCCGCTCACCATTTGGCAATTGATAATAACTCAAACAAACAGTGACAACCCGATTAAAAATATCGTATGAGGTGAGCTACAATGGAAATAATGCTGTAAACTCCAAATTAATCCTGAAATAGGTGGGATATCTTAACTATCCCGGTCTTGGCATAAATAGAAACGAATGAGTGCCTGAGTATCATTAAACACTGTGATGACGAAACAGTAGGAACAGTTGTAAATAGTCCGCGTTAGTTGGCTTTAGTCTCGATGCAAATCAAACACAGATTAAAAGAGTCATTGTGATCGGGTTTTGTCAATAAGAGTAAACACCTTCAGTTCGAGTAAAGGAGGGTTTAAGAGGCCGCAAAGGCAGAAAACTGGTTCATTAAGATGAATATAGTCAGTTTCATTTGAACCAAAGACTTAAAACGACGTCTCCCGGAAGAATTTAACGTGTCGGAGATCTACTTCCCTATTTAACCCATTCGCATCACTTACCTTTGTATGCCAGCACTGAAACCTATCCAGTTTGATAATTATAATTGAGTCTATGGGCCGATCCGCAGTAACAAAAAAGTTGTTTATTTCCCGGCCTGATCAATCGATTAACGGAAATCCAATCGGTCAATC